TTGAATTTTGACGATTGTGAATATTTAACGGAGATACATGATGTATCTAGTCTCCAAAATTTAGAAAAGTTGTCATTTGACCGTTGTAGCAATTTATGTAGGATTCACGACTCGGTTGGATTACTAAATAAGCTTAAATATTTGAGTTCTTACGGATGCGATACTCTTAGGTGTTTCCCGCCACTCAAGTTAACCTCACTTGAAACACTCTATCTTTCAGATTGTCCTCGCCTTGAGAGCTTTCCCGAAATATCAGGAAAGATGGAAAATATCACAATTTTAAAGTTGCATAATCCTTACATAATTTGGATGATTCTCTCAACAGTTCAGAATCACAAAACTACCAGTTGCTGAAAAAGCATAGATTCGTGGACATTTAGTTTCTTAGGTTCAATTTGTGCAACAGCAACAATGTATGTGTTTATAGTCATGCTGTCAGAACTAAGCATGTAGCAATTTTCATTTCTTCCTACTCAAGCAATGCAGGCATTGTATGATAACCTCAACTAGGATTCAAGTTGAATCATGTCAAAGCAGATAAGAGGCACCTTTATTAGTGTCAAGGTTAAATTCTCTTGTGGTGTGATCACAGTAACTATAATTATTCCCTTACCATTATGTTGTTTTACATAAATGGAACAAAAGAAAAATACTAGTTACTAGAATGAGCCAAATCAACAGAGGAGCATGAATTCCTTTTTTTCTTTCTCAAAGGAAGTATACAGGAATTCAATTTATTGTTTCAATTGTGAACAAAAATAAATTTATTTGATTTTAGAGAAACTGAATGCTTTTTGATTGTGAATTAGTAGTAAGAAAATGCTATTGTAAATTTTTATTTATGCTGTACGTAAGTTATCGTGACTTCATAATTTGAAATAGCATATTCAGTTTAATAATAATTCTAATAAGCTGTGAAATTGTTTGAAGAAAAAAGATAATAGGTAATAGTAATGTTGGATAACGAAGATAGTGATTTGTTTGTTGTCAAACACATTGTAAAGTGTTACATGATTCAGGATTCAACAATGACATCGGGTTTTGATGTACACTAGTGATGGTGATAATGAATCTTGAGTCATTTATTTCTGCCTACGTTGTGGATAACTTCAAGGGTAATTCTATGGTGAGATGGAGTGATTGTCATGCTATTAGGGGTAAGAAAACAAGGGTCAGACCAATAAGGAAGACAATGGAAATACGCATGCATCAAGGGTATGAAGAAGCCTAAGCTATAAACAAAGCCAAAATCCAATAGGCTGCACATTCTATGAATAAAATGAAGAGGAGAAGTCCAAGGAATAGGAAAGGAAAAGATAGTCCAAGAAAAAAAAAAGATAGACCCCAAAGAAGGTATATAATCTAGTGGCTGATGACCATGTATGCACATAAGTAAAGAATTAGTAACTGATTGATGTAAATTTCATGGACCCAACATAAGGAAAAGGCTAATAATGTTGGAACTTAAAATAAAATTAAGAGGCTATAAAATTGAAAATTGCTCATATTTTTATTCATAGTATCATTTAAATATAAGAAAGTTATAACTAAAAACTATTTCTAATTTTACTCATTAATCTTGAAATAAATCATAAATAAAATCATCTATAAAGGTGTAACAACTCATTATCATCAATAATTTCTATAATTAAAACTCATAAAGACAATGGAAATACGCATGCATCAAGGGTAAGAAGAAGCCTAAGCTTGGTAAGAAGAAGCCTAAGCTATAAACAAAGCCAAAAGCCAATAGGCCACACATTCTATAAATAAATGAAGAGGAGAAGGGATCTAGATTCTTTATAGTTTTAGTAAAATCTACACCATGCAATGCATTTTTATTTAAATAAATTTAAATTCATTTAAGCTAAACACACATAAAAATTATTTTTACTTAAATAAAAAATTTTAAACAAAAATAAAAAATTTCACTTAAATAAGGGAGAGCATGAAGAGGAAGATGGGAGAGTGAGAAAGGGGGAGAGGGGTGGGGAAAGAGCATAAAGGGGACAATGGGGAAGGGGAGAGCGGGAAGGGGGTTGGGTTAGGGGAGAAGATGGGAAAGGGGTGGGGGCTGGAAGAAGGGATATGGGTGGAAAGGGTAAAAGGGATGAAATTTTAATGAATCCTTTACTAATTCTTTACTTATGTGCATACATGATCATAAGCCATTATATTATATATTTTATTTGGGGTTTATCTCTTTTTTATTTGGACTTAAAGTATCTTTGCCTTTCCTATTCTTTAGACTTATCCTTAGATCCTGACTCTCTGTAGTTTTGGCAAGAACTACAACTTGTAGTGCATTTTTGTTTAAGCGAATTTAGATTCACTTAATCCAAATACGCAAAAAAGTGATTTTTTAGTCTATTTAAATTTTAAAAAAAAAGTTTATAGTTATACCATGATTTATAAGGAGTTTTTCTTTGCACTGTTTTTGTAGGAAGTCTATTTAATAGAAACATTACTATATTTACCTGTTCAACCCATAACTTCTTTGAAAATCCTCTCTCAACACACCATAGCTTCAACCCAAAACAAGGGTTAGACCAATAAGGAAGACAATGGAAATATACATGTGATAAGTTTGTGTTTAGCCTCTATTTTATAGCTCATATATTTATGTTTGATCATTATTTTATTTGGGTTTTACGCAAATTTATATGTTAATCGTGTAATTTAGTATAAAGAGTCTACAAGTAAATTTTGGGTGCATTTTAAGTCCAAATTGATAGAAAATCAAAGTTACGCGGCAGTCAGTAGGCCCAAACCCTTTCAACAAGCACAAAGATGCTTCGAGCCCAAGCACAGTCGTGCTTATGACCTTGTACAACCATGCTCATTTGTGAAAAACTCACTTATAAATAATTTTTATGGTTTTTTCTAAACTCTATTAAAGAGAAACCTCAAGATCCAATTTTACATCCTGTTTCTGGCTTTGATACACCTTTAAACTTGTCTCTTTTGCATGGGATCTTCAACATGTTGTTGGTCAGATTTGGACCTTGAAGTGATCGTACTTCAAGACCAAGAATTCATTACATTCTAGTCTGATTTTCTCTATGACTTTTTTTATGATTGTTTTAGTTTTTTCCTTTAGCATTAGTAAGTAAGTCTATAGATAGGGCTGTGAGAATTATCATTCATGAATTAATGGGTTTTTGAAGTTTGAATCTATGTTTGATTTCCACATGTGATTAGAGTTAATTTTATTGCGCATAATTGTATAACCCTAATTAATTATATCGTCAAGCAACTACATCTCGATTAGTTAATGGATCTATATGATAAAATGAGACAAAAAATTAAGTGGACTAAACAATCTTTCTCTCCCAATCGTTATTAAATTAATATCTTGCATGATATTAATTAGGTGATGGTTTGGAATCTTTATATTCAAATAGAGTAGAATGAAGGATATTCGATTCACTGATCCTTATAAAAGGAGAAAATTAGATGATGGTTTGGAATCATAAAAGCCACACCTGGTGAAAAGAGCATAGATTCATAGACATGGAGGTTTCTAAGACAAATTCATTTCGTTGTGCTCCAGCAATGCAATAATTGGATGGTAATATGAATTATGATTCAAATCAACATGGATAAGGGGCACCACTAATGTTAAAGGTAAATTTTTCTTGTAGTTTTTTCTCACTATAACTATTTTTCAGTGGTCCAATTCACTTTGATTTTCTACATAAATGGAACAAAAGGAAAGAAGTTCCAAGACTGGAGTGCTTCATTGAGGTACATGATTCTAAAGTTTATGAGTTGATTGTTTTAGACATCTTGAAGATTATATGTAAAATTTTGTTTATACTTTTTAAGTTCTTTAGTTTAAAAAGTTGATGTAAAAGTATCTTTGCCTTTCCTATTCTTTGGACTTATCTTTAGATCTCGACTCTTTGCAATTTTGGCAAGAACTACAACCTGTAGTGCATTTTTGCTTAAGCGAATATTCGCTTAATCCAAATACACCAAAAAGTGATTTTGTAGTCTATTTGAATTTTTTTTAAAAAAAGTTTATAGTCATAACATGATTCATAAGGAGTTTTTCGTTGCACTATTTTTGTAGGAAGTCTATTTAATAGAAACATTACTATATCTATCAATTCAACCCATAACTTCTTTGAAAATCCTCTCTCATATACCATAGCTTCAACCCAAAACAAGGGTTAGACCAATAAGGAAGATAATAGAAATATGCATGTGATAAGTTTGTATTTAGCCTCTCTTTTATAGCTCATATATTTATATTTGACTATTATTTTATATGTTAATTGTACAGTTTAATATAAAGAATTTACAAGTAAATTTTGGATGCGTTTTAGGCTCAAATTGATGAAAAATCAGAGTTGCGTAATAGTCAGTTGACTCAAACCCTTTCAACAAGCACAGAGTTATTTCGAGCCCATACATGCCGTACTTATGACCTTGTACAGCCGTGTTTCGAGCCAATTCTTACTTTTGAAATTGTTGTCTGAACCAACTCTTTGAACAATTCTTCATCATATATTCTACAATGCATGTATTTTTTTTTTTATAAGCACAAAAATTTTATTAATTAAGCACTAGAGATGCTTAGCCCACATCTACAAGTATTGAGCACCATGTCAATAATTCTTGCAAATTAACCCAAAACAAATAATCTCTCCTAAGCCTAACCTTCTCTTATGCATGCATCTATTGTGAATTAAAAAACTTTCACTATTATTGTTGGTGGCAAAACAGAATGCTACAAACAACTATGTCAATTGCAATATAGGGGAAAAGAAATAATTTTGAAACGATGAATAAAGTAGTAGGCTCTTTTTTTATAGTATCAACATCCTCAAAAAAAAAACAAGTAAAATGTTGACCACGAGTTAAGCACAGTGAAAGATTAAGAACGAGAGGAAAAACGAAAGATATTTTCGGAAAAGTTCATACGCGTAATAATTAATGTCGGTACGACATGTCCGCGTAACACTTTAGTCTATCAATTTCATAGTTATTCGATCAATTTGATTTTGGAGAACCAACACTGCATCAATAATTATACTAAGCTTTCTTCTCATGGCTGTTAGATCATGTTCTTCTTCCTTCACCTATGCATTCACCTATGATGTTTTCCTTAGCTTTAGAGGCTCAGATACACGTCATGGTTTTGTTGGCAATCTATTTAAAGCTCTTCAAGACAAGGGAATTCACACCTTCATTGATGATGAGGGGCTTCAAAGAGGAGAGGAAATATCACCAGCACTTGTCAAGGCAATTGAAGAGTCAAGAATTGCCATCGCTGTGCTCTCTAATAATTATGCATATTCTTCATTTTGCTTAGATGAACTTGCCCACATCCTTGAGTGTGTTAAGAGAAAAGATACATTGGTTTTGCCCCTTTTTTATGATGTTGATCCCTCTCATGTGAGATACCAAAGAGGTAGTTATGGAGAAGCATTGGCAAGTCATGGAGAAAGGTTCAAGCATAACATGGAGAAGTTGCAGAAATGGAAGATGGCTTTGCATCATGTAGCTAACTTGTCTGGCTACCATTTCAAACACGGGTACCCCCACCTTACCATTTTTTTACCTTACTACTTTTTTTTCAATATTTCTGATATGTACCCAAGGGCATACAATAAGAACCTCTGTATAGAGTAAGTTCTTATTGGAATTCACAAGATACTACAAAATACAATGCATTATAACATTAAATGCTATAATTTTCAATGAAGCTTCCTACTTATTGAGTTCTTATTATGTGCCTTATGACATGGGTTAGACAAACTTCATTTTATGAAATTTCACTTGTTTCATCATTCAGTACATGTTTGAAAACTTCAATTTGGAGAAACAGTTGTTTATTTTTCAAAGGCCCTCTAAGGAAGGTAACAAAAAAACAAACAATTTTTTCTTCAAAATAAGTTCAATCAAACACATACTTCATGGTAAAATTTAAAGAGAAAATAAATGCTTGTTTACCTTGACAACATAAATATCAAGACTTGGATGTGGGGCATTTAGTTTAACTTCACTCAAAATCTTGTTTGAAACAGAGATGGTTATGAATACGAGTTTATTGGGAGGATTGTTGAGTTGGTTTCCAACAAGATTAATCGTGCTCCTTTACATGTTGCGGATTATCCTGTTGGACTAGAGTCACAAGTGCTGGAAGTAAGGAAACTTTTGGATGTTGGATCTGATGATGGTGTTCTAATGATAGGGATTCATGGAATTGGTGGGATAGGAAAAACAACACTTGCTCTGGCAGTTTACAATTTGATTGCTGACCATTTTGATGGTTTGTGTTTTCTAGAAAATGTGAGAGAAAATTCAGACAAACATGGGTTACAACATCTCCAAAGCATCCTACTTTCAGAAATACTTGGAGAGACGAAAATTAAGTTAGCGAGTGTCAAACAAGGAATTTCAATACTACAACACAGGCTCCAGCGACAGAAGGTTCTCTTGATTCTAGATGATGTCGACAAGCACGAGCAATTAAATGCCATTGTTGGAAAACCTGATTGGTTTGGTCCTGGCAGTAGAGTCATCATCACGACCCGGGACAAACATCTACTAGCATGTCATGAAGTTAAAAGTACACATGAGGTGAAGAAATTGAATAAGAACGATGCTCTTCAATTACTTAGTTGGAAAGCATTTAAATCAGAAAAAGTTGATCCAAGTTATGTGGATGTCATGAATTGTGCAGTAGCTTATGCTTCTGGTCATCCATTGGCTTTGGAAGTAATCGGTTCCAACTTGTTTGGTAAAAGTATAGAACAATGGAAATCTGCTATCAATCAATATAAAAGAATTCCAAATTGTCATATCCTAAAGATACTTAAAGTAAGCTTTGATGCTTTAGAGGAAGAAGAGAAGAGTGTTTTTCTTGACATTGCCTGTTGCTTTAAAGGATATAACTTAGAAGAAGTTGAAGATATACTTCATGCTCATTATGGTGACTCCATGAAATATCATATTGGGTTGCTGGTTGAAAAATCTCTCATAAAGCTTACTTGGGCTGGTGGGGTGACATTGCATGACTTGATAGAGGACATGGGTAAAGAGATTGTCCGACAGAAATCACCGAAAGATCCTGGGAAGCGCAGTAGATTATGGTTACCGGAAGATATAATTCATGTTTTCGAACACGACTCGGTATGACTCATGATTGGCTTGTTTCGTGTCTTGACTTATCTATTTTTACTATTATATGATCATGTCACAGTTTTTTCGTTTATAATATGTAAATTTAACTAAATATTTGCATAGAAGTCTTACATTTATCTGCATTAGGGGTGATTGGTGCCTTTGTATTAACAGGGAACTGGTGAAATTGAAATCATACGTCTGGCTTCCTCCTTACTTGACAAAGAAGAAATAATTAAATGGAATAGAAAGGCCTTCAAGAAGATGAAAAACCTCAAAACACTTATAATTAAAAATGGTCATTTTTCCAAAGGTCCCAAACATCTTCCGAATAGTTTAAGAGTACTGGAATGGGCGAAATATCCTTCACAAGGGTTTCCAGCTAATTTTTGTTCAAAGAAACTGAGCATATGCAAGTTACCTAAAAGTTGTTTCTCACTAGAGTTGGCTGACTTATCAGAGGCAAGTGGGTGATGGGTTCATTTTCCAAACCTTACATATTATTAGCTTCACTTTTACATCATTCATTTGGTTCTTATTTCCTTGTTTCTCCTCTTTTTTTGGTTGCAGAAGTTCATGAACATGAGTGTTTTGAATTTTGACGAGTGTGAAGGTTTAACACAAATACCAGATGTATCGGGGCTCCAAAATTTAGAAAAATTTTCATTCAAAAATTGTGAGAATTTAATTACAATTCATGATTCCATTGGATTCCTACATAAGCTTAAATTCTTGAATGCTATAGGTTGCAGAAAGCTCAGGAGTTTTCCACCCCTCAAACTGACCTCTCTTGAGAAACTTGAACTTTCATATTGTTCCAATCTTGAGTGTTTTCCAGAAATATTAGGGAAAATGGAAAATATAACAGAACTTGTGTTGGAGGCCTCTGCCATAAAAGAATTGCCATTTTCATTTCAAAATCTCACTGGGCTTCAAATATTACAGTTGCGTCTAGGAGGAATGATTAGGTTACCTAGCAGCATTGTCATGATGCCAAAATTGACTGAGATTATTGCTTGGGATTGGAAAGGGTTGCTATGGCCAAGACAGGTTGAGGGTGAAGAAAAAGTAAGCTCAATGGTGTCTTCAAATGTAGATTGTCTTTGTCTCTCAGGCTGCAACCTGTCTGATCAATTTTTACCAGTAGCTCTCTCATGGTTTGTTAATGTAAAAGATTTAGACCTATCAAGGAACAAGTTCACAGTTCTTCCTGAATGCATCAGTGAATGCCATTTTTTATGGAAGCTTATTTTGGATTATTGCAATTGTCTTCGAGAAATTAGAGGGATGCCACCAAACATAGAACATTTCTCTGCAAGAAACTGTAAATCCTTGACTTCTTGTAGAAGCACATTACTGAATCAGGTTTTGTCTTGTTTTGTTTCTATTATGTATTTGATTTAATAATTGACAGTGTACTTGATGTTGCTAAACTTACTAATTATTTGTGACTAACAACAGAAACTGCATGAAGCTGGAAACACCATGTTTTGGTTGTCAGGAACATGGTTTCCAGAGTGGTTCGAGCACCACAGCAAGGGACTGTCTAATTCTTTCTGGTTTCGTGATAAGTTTCCTGCCATAGCTCTTTGTACTGCTATTGGACCAACGCGTGAACAGATTACAATTGTTGGACCTATTGTGATCATCAATGGCATTGAATGTTCGGTTGATGATGAGGATGATTCCTATTTATGGATGGAGACTGATCATACATATCTTTTTGATCTGCAAAAGATAAATTTCGCAGATAATTTGGACAAAGAACTTGTAGAAAATGAATGGAACCATGTGGAGATTACATACTCAGTCATATCCAATGAAAAGGAAAAACATGTGGAGATTCCAGTCTTTATAGAAAGTGGAATCTATATATTCAAACAGAGGAGTAGAATGGAGGATATTCGATTCACTGATCCTTATAAAAGGAGAAAATTAGATGATGGTTTGGAATCATAAAAGCCACACCCGGCGAAAAGAGCATAGATTCATAGACATGGAGGTTTCTAAGACAAATTCTTTTCTTCGTGCACCAGCAATGCAATAATTGGAGAATAATATGAATTATGATTCAAATCAACATGGATAAGGGGCACCACTAGTGTTAAAGGTAAATTCTCTTGTAGTTTTTTCTCACTATAACTATTTTTCAGTGGTCCAATTCACTTTGATTTTCTACATAAATGGAACAAAAGGAAAGAAGTTCCACGACTGGAGTGCTTTATTGGGGTGCATGGTTAACTTTTTGTCCTGAAGAAAATTACAGTAGTTCTAATGTTCAATTCATTGTTTCAGTAGTGAAGAAAAAACAAATTTGCTTGCGTTAGAGAAATTGAATGACGTTAGATCATAAAATAGTAAGAAATTTTAATTGTGAATTTGAATTTATGTAGTGTGATGTGTATATAAATTATCTTGACTTCGTAATTTAGGACAGTATATTGGACTGAATAATAGTCCTAATAGGCTACCAAAAAGTTTCAAGAAAAGTGAGAATGGGTATTAGTAAGGTTGCATAATGTTGACTCTGATTTTTGGACAGGCATACAAACCTTGTGGAGGGTTAATAATTTTCATTGCTCAATTCAGAGGAAACCCTTTTCGCTCTCTTTAATTAGCCATATCCTAGGTTTATTTTTCCAGGAGTATTTTGCAACACAGGATTCAACAATGCACACTTGAGTTTTGATACCCTATTATGGGTGGAGGTAAACAATCTTTCATCATTTATTTTTCCCTATGTTAGGATAAGCTTCAAGGGTATTTCTTCTTGGTTACAAAAGAGGTTCACACATTACGATGAACATCGTGTCCACTGAGTTATGTTGTTATAAGCCTCCAGAATTGATAACTGATTCATATTCTGTAGTATTAAGGTTATAAGCCTCCATCTTGTGATTTATTTCTTCTATGTTATGTAGTGTCCAAATTTTTATGTTCAATGCGTTTTGATCGCTAATTCGATGCCTAAGTCCATTTGCAACCAAATATACATAATCAGAGAGAAATTTTGGAATTAGGGATAGATAGCTTTGGGTGAAATTTAAAAATATCAAAACATTTATTTTTAAATTTTGGGATAGATAGTTTTGGCTGAAATTTTGGAATTAGGGATAATGCTTTAAAGAAAAAGAAATGTTACCCATCAGAGAAAAATTTTCTGTTTTAGTTCTTAAAGTATATCACAACTCTAGGATATAAAAACAGTTAGTTCTTGGCTTAAAATTTTGTTTGATTTTAATGATGTCCAAATTTTTTGGTCACTAGGTCTCTTAAAATTTTGGAATAATTTTGGAAAGGGATTTAGTGGTTCTCTGTTGTTGTGAGTAAATAATAATCATAGTAATTTATTTTTAATTATTTATTATGTTATTATTGCTAAAAATAATTATGTGTATAGGGAAATAAGTCTTAAAATTTTTTTGGTTTAGATGAAAGTTTACTGTGATACATATTTTGTTTAATTACACAAATTTATTTGAAAAGTGTGAAAAAGATAATTATTTAAATTTTATTTGATAGTATTTAACTATGATACGTGCATTTAGATTGTCTATGAGAATATTTTTCTACGATGTAAATATTTTTGGAGAAGTTGTGTTTGAACCCTGTAATTGATAGCAAAAATAATGTAAGGAGAGGACTACATGAAACTATTAATATAGGTGAGACCACCCTTAAAAAGATAGGGCTATTAACCATGTGAAGTTGCTTGAACTTTGGTTGTCTTATGAATCTCTCTTACAATATTATATATACATTTGCTTTTATGATGTTTTTGAAATTATTATTATTATTTAATTTTTTTATGTATATGCATGTCTTATTATAGTAAATGTGATTGAAATAATATTTTTATTTAATAGTGTAAGTTTGTGAACTTTGAATCATGATCAAACTTTTGAAAGTTAATCAGAATAAAATTATTTTTATAAATACATGTTATAAACAAGTTTAAAAATGAGAACTACTTTGTGTGTTATTTGTTTTTCATTTTTTGTTTACTGTAGTTATTATATTCTTGTTAAGTATGAGACTCACCTCTATTTATTTATTATTTACAGAGTTGGAGGCCACTGAGAATATTATAAGTAGTTAGATTTTAAGTTTTAGAATTTCTACAGCCAATGAGAAGTTAAATTTTTGTCTTGATTATGTAATAAATAGTTCAATTTTGATATTATAATTACTTGGAATTCAATTGTTTGTGGTTGAGTTTTAAATCTTGATTATGTAATAAATTATTTAATTTTAATAGTATAAGGACTTAGAATTCAATTGGGTGTAGTTGAGTTATAAATTAATTCTAATAGGTTATCATATTTTAGAATAATAAAAAAAACTCTATCAAATTTTTTGACAAATTTATCATATTATTTATTTAAAAATATTTATAGTCTCGTGTTAATTTTATATAAACTTAACAAATTTAAGTGGTGTTTCAAATAACTTAACTTGTGCACGTTAAGGCTTAATATCAGGTGGTGACAAATTTAGAGGTCCCTTCCCATGTTCATGTCTTGTTAAATCATTTAATTACCAATTCATCGGTATCCATTAATGACTTTTTGTTGTTTAATCAGATGAGTTAAGTAAGGTATAAAATCTCATTAAGTATTGATGCTGCGTTCAAATGTGTTTTTAGATAGCAACATCAACTTCATCTTTGGTCAAGTCTCTACACCTCTCCATCAGTTTCGCTGAAAATTGGAGACAAAACCTCAGCATAATTCCTCTTACTCAAGTCTAAATGAAATGGTCTTTCCTTTGCTTTCTATTATTCAAAATATGACATATATTCAAACAAAAAATTGATAGAACCATAGACAGTTGTAGAAAGTTAGTTGAACAGAGAAGGTCAAATTGATTTTTGTATTTTCATTCATTACGATTTGGTGTCTCTGAGATTAGCCTAAAATCTTATTTTGGGTAGTCAAAAGCATGTCAAGGAAAAAGTTAAACACATTTTTCATCCACTTGTTAAATTACTCCAAGACTGTTTTACTTTCTCAAGGTGCAAACAAATTGTTATTTGAAATAACTTAAATTATCGTTTATCAACATTCTTTCATGTTTCATAGGTGCCAACAGTGATAACTGTGGTAAGTTGAATAGATGTGGTGTATCTAACACTTTTCCTTCCTACAATTAATACTCCCTCCATTTTTTCCTTCTTAGTCGTTTTAGAATTTTAAACATGTTTATTTTTCTTAATCGCTTACAAAATTTAAGACACGTTTATTTTCTTTTTACCATATTACTCCTAATTGAATTGAACACCTTATTAAAGTTTTTCTCTACTTTTTGTTTTAGCTTACAAAAATCTTCAAATTCTTTCTTTTTAGGACGACGGTATATTAGGAAATCACATAATAAATATTTAGTAAATTTAGACTATTCAATCATTTCTTTAATCTGGTTTTTTTTATTTAAATAATGCAATTTTAAAAATTATTTCCAAAAATAAGGTTAATTAAAAATTATTTCTCTGTTTGGAATTTTTTTTACCACGTAAGAGAGTGTATTGGAGATTTACAAACGATACTATTTTTTTATTATTTTTTAAAACATTATTGCATATATCAAGTCGATACCTATTTCAATAATGACACGTGTTAAGTGCAGAATAAGTATCTCACTTTTTTGGACAATAGTGTTATCTCTACTTTTGTAATGATACTGCTATTTCCATATTAGGTCCGATATTAAGTGAGATATTGACACATAGTATTAATTTAAAAAATATTAAAAATTATAAATTTAAAAATATTTAAAATTATGAATATAAAAGATAATTAAGATTATCTTTAGTAATAATTAATACTAAAATTAAAATAAATATCTTACAGTTTTCTAATAATATTTTAAAAATTTATAATTTAAATAAGTCCAATAACTATAATTAAAATCAATATATAGATTTTGTTCGTTAATTAACACCACTAGTATGGAGAAAAAAATAGTAAGTACCTTGTTTTAAATCAAGTTATGAAATTTTTTTTCCAATCTTTTAAGAGTTAAAATTACATGATTAGTTGAATTATTGCTTTCAGTCTCATGTTATTTTGAAATTCATAACTTTAATTTTTTTTAAATTATAATTTTAAATATTTTAAATTTAATTCTTAAGTATTTTTTAAATTTATAATCTTAAATTTTTAAATTTATAATCTTAAATTTATAATTATTTGACTTATTTAAATTATAAATTTTTAAAATATTATTAGAAATCATAAGATATTTATTTTAATTTTAGTATTAATTATTACTAAAGATAATCTTAATTATCTTTTATATTCATAATTTTAAATGTTTTTAAATTTATAATCTTATTTTAATTAAATTTATAATTTTAATTTTTTTAAATCATAATTTTAAATATTTTTAAATTTAAATCTTAAGTATTTTTTAAATTTATAATCTTAAATTTATAAATTTAAATATTTTTTAAAAAGGTAAGATCATCTTACACGGGTGTAAGTTTAAAAACTCTTACACCCAATCTGAACTTTTCATTTAACTTAAATCTAACGGATTATAATTTATTAATTTACTAATCGTTAGATTTAAGTTAAATAAAAGTTTCAAGTTGAGTGTAAGAGTTTTTTAATTTACACGAATATAAGAAGATCCTTTCTATTTTTAAATTATAATTTTAATATGTTTTAAATTAATGTCACTTGTCAACATCTCACTTAGTATCAGACTTGATATGGAACTAACAATATTGCTGCAAAAAGTAGAGATAGCACTGTTGTCCAAAAAAAATGAAATATTAGTTCTGTACTTGACACGTGTCATTACTAAAGTAAGTATCGATCTGATATATGTGATACTATTTTAAAAAATAATAACAAAATAGTATCATTCGCAAATCTCTGAAACACCCTCTTTACATGGTAAAAAAAAGTTTCAGACAGAGAAATAATTTTTAATTAATTCTATTTTTGGAAATAGTTTTTAAAATTATATTATTTAAATAAAAAAGTCCTTTAATCTTCGGGCATAACCTTCAATGATTAAGAAAAAATAAAATGGATGGAGTATATATTTACTGTTTATTACTAGTTCTACAGTTGAACATATGGTGCCAACTTCTATTCTGTATTTGCACTTTCAATACATGGCTATCTCTGATAGGAACTGAGAAGATAGATTGATTGAATTATGTGCTTACACCAATACTTGCTAGTTTGTTTCATACGCAGCAATGTGTAATATGGGAACCACACTCTTTTTAACTTATCCACGATCTTTCATGAAAATTCACTTGAGAAATTCGCCCTATCATCTATACACACTTTCAAGAAATTAAGAAGCAAAAAACAGCTGATTGTATAACATACTTAAGTATCTTTTGCCAGACCTAGCAATGCAAATTGGAGAGCAGACTTTCTTTTGAAACACCCCGTTTCTCATCTCTGGTCTATCACAATTGTATCCTGAACTGTTACTTATATATAAATATATTACATGAGTATTATTTTCTTATTTTAAATTATTCTTTTAAGATTTTGAAAAACTCTTGTAACTCATCATCTATTTTTCTCTTTAACATAAATAGTTTAGAATAAATTTTAAAATTCAAGACAGCGCTCTAAAAAAAAAGTGTTACACGTAGTAAAAAAATTTCTATTCAAATTCTTAAAGTGTGCTTGCAACTCTATGATATAAAAAAAACTAATTCTTGACATGTTTATTTGTAAGCAAGTATATTTTAAATTTTTAATTATAATCTAAATCCAATGTTTATTTGTAAGCAAAGTATATTTTAAAATTTTAAGTATAATCTAAATCCAATTAATTTCCTAAAACTTTTTTTACGAAGATGATGACTAGATTTATTGGTCATGTTGTCTTATAATTTTGAAAAGCAATTTAGTGATTCTCCACTTTGGCAAGTGGATAGTGATCATAATGATATATTTTTATAATTATTATTTCTATTATTTATTATGTATTATTACATAACAAATTATTTGCCTGTGGAAAAGGGTCTTAAATTTACTTTTTGGTTACAAGAAAGTTTGTTCTAATACAAATTTTTTACTCAATTACATGAACTTTATTTCTAAAGTGTGGAGAAGTAACTATTTTAATTTTATTGAAAGGTATTTCAGTGTGAGATGTTGCATTGAAATTTTTGAAAAATATATTTATTTTATACATGATAATGATTTTATGATGTAAATTCTTTTGAAAAAATATATGATAGAACCCTATATCTTTTAGCAGAAACAACTGTTCAAGTATACCTAATTGTATTTTAAAAGGACTATGTACTCATTAGACAGAATTATCCCTAGGAGAGAGACTACTCCTACGAGAAAAGGTTATCAATAAGAGAGTTCTCTTAGACATCGGTTCTTACATGGGTGTTCTTTACAGTATTGTATATACATATTTATGATATTTTAAAAAATTATTAGTATTTAATTTTATGTATATATATATATATATACTTTATAATTGTGATTTAAATGATATTTTTGTTTAACGGTATAAATTTGTGAATTTTTTATTATGACAAAATTTTTATAAAAAATGTTAAAATGAATTTCTTTTGAAATGATATGTTATAAGTAAGTTTTATAATTGTGAATTATTTATATTTTATTTATTTATTTCTTTATTTGTTATGGTTATTATATCTTTATTGAGACTTATCATATTATTTGTTTAGATAAATTTATTGTTAGATGTGGCACTTTCTAAATAGTTTCATCAATTTAAACGATGTTTATACGTAACTTAACCTATGTGGAACCGAATTGGGAGTTGTGAAACTTTTTAACTTAAAAGAAAATAAATTTTTACAATAATAAAAAAAAAGTTGAACACTGATTTCATATACTGGCCCACCCAGAAAGATAAGAAATGGGTACGAAGTTTCAAATATGCAACAAAGTTGGCCCAAATTGAAGATCTTCAATGTTTTTAACAAATGAGATCTAAAATCCCATTCTACACGTTCAACCTTTTTTCTTGTTCCTTTTTATTTATAATTTTAAATATTAATAAAAGAAAAAACATGGTGATAAAAAAAGAGTGCTCCTTCTATCATTATATGTTCAAACTTCGAGGACACAGACTTTATCTTTGTCCATCTTCCAGTCCACAGTAGTCAATACACTCATTTTTCTTGTTTAAAAATCTTTTAAATTCTTTCATCGTACACTCTACTATGTATTTGAGTAAAATAATTCTAGTTAAATTACTAAATTATATATATTTAGATTGTAAGAGAAATATTTTTAGAACACTTCATATTTTT